AGGACAGTGGGTGGGGATTGGGTTATTGAACGATATATGATCATAGATAAACTACCATAACTCGTGAATAAGCAGTTGAAAGCCATTCTAAAACTGTGCGCTTTGCAAACTCAACGATAGTCTACAGCGCTCTCAGATAGACTGGTAGAATTTCGTAACATGCGCTGCCCAAGCTTCGCTTTGCGACTTGGCACCAGTGTTAATAATTAGGGCGTAGATTGAGTTACTGTACCTTCACTTCTGAAACGATGTTTTAATAGGTATAGTTCGGTGGGGTAACCTAGTGGTTAAAGCGTTCGCTCGTCATGCAGAAGACCCGGGTTCGATTCCCCACTTGTACAATGTGTGTTAAGCCCATTTCTGGTGACCCCCGTCGTGATATTGCTGGACTAGTTCTAAAAGCGGCGTAAAACCCAACTCTCTCACTCACTCAAGGCGACCTTTGTTCTTTTATGAGAGCACAGTTATGTCATTTTATTATTTCACGTCGGATGAAATTTCAGGGAGATTGAATACCGTCATCTCCTATTGTGTCAGTGGCCTACTCACATGTAGCCTGTGTCGGTGGCCTACTCACCTGTAGCCTGTGTCAGTGGCCTACTCACCTGTAGCCTGTGTTGGTGGCCTACTCACCTGTAGCCCGTGTCGGTGGCCTACTCACCTGTAGCCCGTGTCGGTGGCCTACTCACCTGTAGCCTGTGTCGGTGGCCTACTCACCTGTAGCCTGTGTCGGTGGCCTACCCACCTGTAGCCTGTGTCGGTGGCCTACTCACCTGTAGCCCGTGTGCACTCGGTGGCCACCCACTCCCTGTAGCCTGTGTCAGTGGCCTACCACCTGTAGCCCGTGTCGGTGGCCCACTCACCTGTAGCCCGTGTCGGTGGCCTACTCACCTGTAGCCTGTGTCGGTGGCCCTACTCACCTGTAGCCTGTGTCGGTGGCCTACCCACCTGTAGCCTGTGTCGGTGGCCTACTCACCTGTAGCCCGTGTCGGTGGCCTACTCACCTGTAGCCCGTGTCAGTGGCCTACTCACCTGTAGCCCGTGTCAGTGGCCTACTCACCTGTAGCCCGTGTCAGTGGCCTACTCACCTGTAGCCCGTGTCAGTGGCCTACTCACCTGTAGCCCGTGTCAGTGGCCTACTCACCTGTAGCCCGTTTCAGTGGCCTACTCACCTGTAGCCTGTGTCAGTGGCCTACTCACCTGTAGCCTGTCTCAGTGGCCTACTCACCTGTAGCCTGTGTACAGCTGATACAAAACATACCGACATAATGAGTCGGATGTTAGTATGTATCCCGGAAAGTACAACTGATGACACTTGTACCATCTTTTTGTCAAAGAACAAAACGTAGAGAGTGACATATGTGTGAATGTACGTTTTTACCCTTCTAAATGTAACCAGCATTGGATTATGCAATTACATGTCTTTCGTGAACAGACGTGAACGTGAAGATCTGGGTTAGAATTGTTCTTCAGTAACCTATGCTTGTCGTAATAGGCGACTAACGGGATTGGGTGGTCAGGCTCGCTGACGTGGTTGACACATGTCATTGTTTCCCAGTTCGTAGATCGATGCTCATGATGTTGGTCACTGGATTGTCTGGTCAAGACTCGATTATTTACAGACTGCCGTCACAAAGCTGGAATATTGCTGAGTGTGGCGTAAAACTCAACTCACAAACTCACTTTCGAGAGCATGTTCTTCGTTGATTCTTTCATCATGGTAATAATGTTTGTATATTTTATATGTTTGCATTTTCAGTTGAAGTGTCACTGCAGCCGGTGAAGCTGAAGCTGAATCATGGCTGAAGAAGCCATTTGGATTCTCCGTAAAGTAAAGCTGCTCTTGTCTTTATTCGCTTGGACATTCCTCAAGTTTGTTGTGCTGCAATTCTCTCTAGTATTCCAGCCCCTGAAAAGAAAGTTAATAAGTCTCGCTGATAAAATCATGGAAGGCACAACAGTTTCCGGAGAAGAGGTTCTGTGGACCATGCTGTCTTGGCAATACTGGAGACTGATTCCGTACCACTTGCAACTTGAAATTTTCAAAGAAAGTGAGCAGGATAAGAGACCACCTGATGCGGTTGTCTGGTCAGCAGACGGCAAAACCAAACATCGTCTGCTCGACTTCATGAAGAAGGGGCGCCCTCTGGTTCTCAATTTTGGAAGCTGTAGCTGACCTCCGTTCATAGCCAAGCTGGGCAAGTTCAACAAAATAGTGGACAAGTTTAGTCACTGCGTGGACTTCCTAGTGGTTTACATAGAAGAGGCTCATCCAGTTGATGGCTGGCATTTTCGCGGGAACAAATACCACGTGAATGCATCTACCAGGCTGGAGGAGAGAGCGACCAGAACCAGTTTATTGAAAGTTGAAAATGTAACTTGTCCCATAGTTATTGATGACATGTCGAATAATGCCAACAGAAAATACTCTGCCCTGCCAGAGCGTCTGTATGTGATTTTGGATGGCGTCATAGAATATGCAGGCGGCTCCGGGCCGATGTCGTACAGTCTACCGGAGCTTGAACACTGGCTGAACAGCTACTGCAAACAGCATAACTAGGTCTTGTTAACTGACATTTATTGCATTCTTGAGTGAGTGAGTGAGTGAGTGAGTGAGTGAGTGAGTGAGTGAGTGTTCGCTTAGTGAGTGAGTGAGTGAGTGAGTGAGTGAGTGAGTGAGTGAGTGAGTGTTCGCTTCCCCAGCGCTCCACTTAAATGATGGATAGTTGCTTGTGTATGCTAGCTACATGTCATGAGGCTTATGTAATCGTTTGATGGAATTCATATCTCTGGATACAAAATATCTTTTAAATATTGGTCAGATGTAACAGATGATATCTTTGAAATACTACTTTCACACTATAGTTCACATTCTGCTAGTTATTTTTGCTGAATCCCATCCGATTCCTACTGTTAAAGAAAGGCACCAAAATCCCAGCACACAAAGTCAGTTTTCTAACCTTCTCAGCCACAGTGACGTCCTCAAAATTGACATTCTGACAACCTATGACAGGTTAGGATTCGAATCCCAGGTGCAGTGTGCGAAATAGCCGCTGGCCCGCTTGCCCGTGGCTTGTAAAAATCCAGAGGGGCCAGTAAATCTCCACAGTCACTTGCCCGACCGGCCATTGAATTTTCAAAGGGTCGTTTTTTTAAATATATCACTCTCTCCGACTTCTTAACTTATAATACACTTTTAAATCATGCAAGATTATGACCTGATAAATAGTGGTATTTTACCTTTTTGTAACATTTGGCTTAGTTTCAACATTCAAATTTCGGGCTGGTGAATTATTTTGTGGGCTAGTAACTTTCAGGCATAGCTAGCCCTACTGGCTGTCAAAAGTTGGAAACTATTTGGCACACTGCCCAGTTGGTACTCAATCCCACCAACACTCAAATCTGTACTTTACTTTGAAAACACTGTCCCACATACAACATTTGTTACTAAGCCATATCGTTTGTAATATGTCCTATTACAGCTAGGTAAAAGCTGAGGTTGGCTTGTGTACGCGTCTCACGAAATGTTCTCGGATACGATCTAAAATCTGGACTGGGCGGTTTACCCCTGCCCATATCTTTATGAAAACATGGCCTACTTTAGGCCCAGACATGTCACCTGCGTTATCTTCCCGTGACATCATATCTGTCTACAGCTTTATGATTCATACGATATTTTGTTTGTCTACTTGCTGCTATATACCTCAAGAGGACTTATTGTTCAATGACAGACTCAAGAGACACTGTAAATATATTTATATTAAAATATGATAACTTTCATTACGGGACTAAATGTCTGTCTCTATCAACAGTAGTGGTACTTAGACTTGAATCAGTAGGAGGGAGCGGCAGTACTACTCTACTACTTCTACTGCTGCTACTACTAGTTGCTGTAGGTTCTATTTGTTTTATTGTTCAAGGGCGTATGATCAGGTGATTGCAGCACTAGATGCACTACTAGATTGCAGGTAAATGTCGAAGTTGTTGCAATGCGAATGACGAAATAGCACAAGCTATGATTGGTTCTCGATGTCATGCTATCACACAAGGTCCTGGGGTCATGAAATAGGACATTAAATAGGACTCGTGTCCTTGATCATCGAAGGTATAGGCCACTTCAAACGCCGTTGTCAGCTCAGTAGATTGCAAGGGTTCTAGAGGTTATCTCGTCGCTTCTGTCCTCATTTCATTGTACATACATCAAACGAAACTTTATCTGTTAAACCTCGCTATGTAAAAAAACAACAAAACATTTTGACACCCAATTATATAATACACAATGGCAGCAGATCAACAGGTTCTAGTTCCAAACCTAGACTGCATTACTATGGGGACCCCTTAATCCGCAGGTACAGCGTGTAGTAATCCGCAGTGCGGAGAATGAGTGCGAGGGGCTTAAGGTGTATTATAACGAAGATGTCTGAAGATGTCTTCCCGAAGGCAACTTTCTAGATAGAGGATATTATATTAGTGCCCATGTCGTGCCTAAATATCGTAATATCCCTCGCTCTCGCTCGGGAAATACCAACATTTAGACACATGTGTAGTAAACATAGTATGATATGGGCACGAATATGATATTCTGTTTATTACCGAAGTCGTCAAATTGAGGAAAATAAACCCAAATCTACTCTCAAACATAGGCTGGGTACCCGCCGTCGCCGCATGTAGAACGCAATGTCACAGAAGAAACATGATGTCATGACATTGTTCATGACGTCACGTCACCATGACAAAGTGATATTTTGCCCTAGGGCATCGTATGAAAATTATGAACCCCGATATTTTCGCCCTCGTAGGTAATATACACGTACTCTCTTCTTGTACATGCTTTCATGTATGGCCTGTCTAAACAAACACCAATGGCTGACTTTTCATCGTGGAAGTTTGTACTTGCGATATCGACATCATGAAAGGTTGTTGTCGTTGTGTAACTGATAACAAGTCACGTGTTAGATAACTATAGATAACATGTCCAAGTCATGAAGTGCAGGGAGAAACACGTGTCTTCGGTTTTGTTTTCCATTGGTCGACTACATCGCAGATGCACCTCTTGGTGGAGGTGGCGTGTGTGTGTTTGCGAGTGAGTGAGTGAGTGAGAATTTGCTATTAATTATACTCGAATTACATATTGTTCATTTTGTATTTTGTTTTCGTTTAGAACAAGTCACAGATTATATGTGTTTTACCTTTGATATACATTGCGTTTTGACGTTAGTCTCGCTAAAAGAATGGACGTATATAGGGTAGTCTACGAATATTAGCGAATGTATCCCAACATGTTTCAGCTGACTTCTCAATGAAGTTTTTCGGTTTCGATGAGGCAACGGTGAAGGGCATTATGTCAGACGTTTAGACAGTTTGAATGTTATTTGGTCATGAATAATATGCATTCATTGATGTTATTACAAGCCATAACAAATCATATCACTCTCTACCTCTTACGGGTTTGCTTGTTGGATAAAGGTTGACGGAATCGACAATGATGAGATGACCACAAACACTGCCGGTGATGTCTGATGCCATGATTGCTGTCAACCTTGGTCAGACAAACTACCGGTCAACAGCTGGCCATGCTTTTGGTGTTATTTACTGTACTGTTTGATGTGTAACTTGTTGGATGGATAGTCTTGCTGGTTCAAGACTCGCCAATGTAGATGTTAGAGAAGCTACTATGAAAACAGTTGTTTCTTTAGCAATAAACATTAAGAAACAAAAGGCAGACTTTGTTGTAAATTATTTCGTTGTTCAAAATATAGTGAAAAATCTTTCGTCTGTTTGTCATGGACTTGAAAGTGTGATCCACCCTACACGGTTCTTGCTGTGTACTGCAGCCAGGTATATGACATATGTGTGTATGGGGTGAGTGAGTTTAGTTTAACGCCGCACTCTGTAAATAATCAAGTCTGGTCCAGATAATCCAGTAATCAACAGCATGAGCAGCGATCGAAGCAACAAGGACACGACAAGTGTTAACTACGTCAGCCAGCCTGACCACCCGATCCCGTTATCGCCTCTTACGACAAGCATGGGTTACTAAAGATCAATACTAACCCGGATCTTCACGGGTTTATATATGTGTATGGATATTTCCTGGTCTTATACTAGGAAGGCCAGAACGACATGAATGCAAACATGATTTTCGCAGGTAATTATTCAGCTCTGTTTCTGAACAAGCTATCCTTGAAGATGCGGGTTAGAACTGATCTTCATCAATCCACGAGGGGCTGTGGGGTAGCCTAGTGGTTAAAGCGTTCGCTCGTCACGCTGAAGACCCGGGTTTGATTCCAAGCATGGGTACAAAGTGTGAAGTCCATTTCTGGTATCCCTCGCCGTGATATTGCTGGAATTATGCTAAATGCGGCGTAAAACCCAACTTACTCACTCACGTCAAAGGCAACGAACAGGATCGGGTGGTGAGGCTCGCTGCCTTGGTTGACACATGTCAACAGATTGCTCAGTGCGGCGTTAAACAACAAACTAACTAACAAACATAAACGGAAGCACGCACACATAGAGATGCTTGTTTGTGGACTGGGATGTTATCTTACCAATAGCTAATTTATGGAAACTATCATTCCTGACTCAAAATACATTGTCATATTGACCATTGACAAAATAATATACATTTACTGATGGTTGTGTTGTGCATCTGGTCAACAATATTAAAATTATAACACATCAGCCAGCAATTCGATGCGTTGCTATTCTTGGCGTTGTTCGTCTGTCGAAACTAACGACTGTGTATATACATATATCATCTATGTCCACTATAGAAGCTGTAGCGCGTCAAGGCCTTGGACACTTGCATGTGGGCGTCAGTTGTTAAACTTCACAGTTGTCAACATCGCCACTGTATGGCAGGTGCCTACATAATCTGGTACAACAATCCAGTGACACGCTATCAACCAAGTCAGCAACCCTGGCAACCCTTACGATGCCTCCTCCTAACCCGTAACCTACTCTATCTATATCCAAATACAAGAAATCCCGATTTGCAGTCCCTTGGCTTTTCAGTATTTTTTACATTTCACTAAAAATGGCAGACGTTAATAGAGGACAACACAATTACTGTAGGCCTACTAACACGCGATCAGATTAAACACTCTCTCGTTTCGTCTTTATGTAATACTGGTGTGGCGTCCATATTATTTCCGAGTCCCGTGCTGGGATTCAAACCACGGACCTTCTGATCCGAAGTCGGACGCCTTGTCCACATGACCAAAGAGGTTAACCCCATCAGCAAGCTGCCATGGCAAGGATGTCATCTGTGGGATGACCCCACACCCTCCTACACTGGTTACATCTTTCTCTCGCGAACAAGGGCCTCAACCGGTCGTCTAAGGCGCTGACTAGAGTTGCGTCCCTTGGGCACATCTGAAACCTATGCTCGTGGGTTCGGATCCGGGTTGCCTAGATTATATTTTCAAATTTGTCAGCACTACGCTCCCAAGTTTCACGTAAGTGGTAAAGCAGCATTGCATAGGGCTTTCCTCCCACAGTAAGATGACTCCCCTGTGCTTTACCAGAATACAGTTAAAATGAGCCTAAACCCGACTCATTCACCATTACAAAACCTGCAAGTGTGAGGCTCTTTCTTGGTGCGCTAGTGCAATGGGTCTCAAACATTGGTAAACCTGATGTACAGCTTCACTCACTCACTATCAGAAAACCTGCAAGTGTGAGGCTCTTTCTTGGTGCGCTAGTGCAATGGGTCTCAAACATTGGTAAACATGCTGGATAACCTCACACACTAAACCTTCCTGAGATATAATGATTAAAGCATTATTTGTAAAATCAAATTTATTATCAGGTTTAAAATAAATGTAACAAGTGTAAATGATCTTTATGCAAGTATGATCAATACATATAAACAATACCCATAACAACATTGGATTGGGCTGTGCATTGGCAAATAAATTATACTGCACAATATTGCAATTCAGGCACCCCTATTGACAGCGAGTGACACTAATTGTTCATGTCAATCCTATTTTCTACATTATAAGTCGCTAAACATACATGGTTATGGTTCTGATAACAGCGATCTCAAACTTAGGTTGCATAGTCCTTTTCCTTTTTATACAAGTTATAGTATTACAGTATGCTGTTTTGTCATTGAATAACACAGGAAAACATGTGTTGTGAATGTAAGTATGTGTAGATTTCAATTTAAACCATAAAGATAATCACAAAAACTTCATATATCTTATTTACCCAATATACCAGTTCTCAGAAAAAATATTGCAATACATATCCTTCGAAAAGCCAGGTATACCCGTATACCCTGCAGTCCAACATGACGTCATGCATGGAAGCACAAGGTGTGTTGCCTGACATGGCTGGCATCCAGGAAAATACTACATAGGAACATGAGTGCAGACAAGTTCGAGGAAGTTTACTGTATGCAATGACATGGCAATGATGGCTGACAAATGCCATACTTCTTCAGCAGGATAGGTGCGTCATTGTTCTCTCACAGAGTGTAGCAACATTCATTCCATCATCCTGAACCAGGAACCATAGTGTACACCAGTGTATGGAAATGATGAGTTGATGCTATTCCTCATTCTGTCATAGACCTATGAATATTTGGGTTGGAATTGGTCTACAGCGTCCCATGCTTGTTATAAGAGACCACTAAATGCATCGGATGGTCAGGCCTTATGACTTGGCTAATACAGGTCATTGTATCCTAGTTAAGCAGATCGATGCTCATAATGTCGATCACTGGACCAGACTCCACAGACAGACTGCCATCACATAGCTGGAATATTGCTTTGTGTTAAACCACAAACAAACATTCGTCATGTCATACACAGCAGAGAATATGTCAGCAGGGGTAGAACCAGGTTGTCTACTTGCAGGGTAAAAGCTTCAAACAAGGATGACAGGACGACTGCTACCACCAGGGGGAGGCTGAGTGGACTTGACACTACCCCTGAAAAAAACCCAGGTTACAGTGTGTAAAACATATCTGTAGGAAAAGATGGACTAGGATACTTGCTGGTTGTTAGGTGGTTATTAAAATATTTTCTAGTCATGAAGCAGGCCAGAAATACTGTTTGCATGTAGGAATCAGCAAGACCAGTGATGTCTGTGTTCAAGGCATCACACAGGCAGTCACACATGAGTGGCTGTCCCTGGTGGTCATCTTTCTGGTGCTGTCCACACCAACCAGCCTTTGGAGCAGACCCTCAATTTTTCAGTTGTCTGTTTCCACAAGCATTGGCAAGTGGATTCAACACATCCAAATATTTGACTATGCAAACTCATAACTCATATAGAAAGTACAAATAGGAAACCTACTCTTACAGATCATTGTTAACTTGGGCTGTGTATTGACAAATACTGTATTGCAATCTATTGACAGTAAGTGGCACTGATTGTACATGCAGATCCTATTTCCCACATACTAATTCCCGAAAAAACAAATGATATGGTTCTAAAACAGCAATCTGAAATATGGGTTGGATAGTTGGATAATTTCTTTTTTATACAATTCACAGTATAAAGTATGCCATTTTCTTAATTAATTACAATGTGAAACATCAGAGGTGAATAAAAGCCTTTGTAGATAAACCATCTTAAACCATAAAGTAATGACAAAACATTCTGTTTTGTAGAGCCAAGGCAGGGTTCCATGCTTAATTGGTTCAGTGAAGAATGAATTGTAATTGTAATACAACAAAACAACTGATTAATCTCGATGAGGTCATTATGCAAAAAAAACAAACCCCAAAAACCCAAAAGAGATCGGATCCTCGGGTGCTTTTTTTCTGCATGTGACCTCCCCAAACAACCCATCTATACTACTCACACTTTGCTAAGGATCACAAAAATTCACAACTTTACTTAAACGTAGATTCATAATTTGAAATTGTATCCATTTAAAACTGGATAAATAATGATATGGTAACCCCTCTTTAAGCAAACAACCACTTTAATCTAACCTTATGCACTTGATACACGAGTAACCATAAAAATGGTTTTCATGGCACCAATCAACCATTTTGCAAATCATGGAGCGAGTCATTGACAAATAAACAACACCTGTCAATAGCAGGTATGGGGTCCACAAGATGAAATGTCACACTGAAACCTAGTATCCATGCTTACAATAAGCTTACATATTTAAATCCAATTTGACCCCACATCATAGTTTTCTGTTGAATCTCTGATTTGGTCCTTAGCAAAGTGTGAATAGTATATATACAGTATCTGACCTGTGAGAGTGAGGCAGCCCAAGACTAGAGCTTGGCTGATGGCACATGTGACTGTTCCTTCAAGGGACTTGTTACTTCCTGGAAGCAAAGTATCACCCTGGAATCTCTCAAAAAGAACCTGTTTGATTATTTTCTTAGACTTCTGCTTTTGTTTAGTGCTAAGTATTTCATAAGGGCACCATCAATCACTTACTGGAGGTTGTAACATGGCCACTTTACAGTCATATTTAGTAATAACTGTAGACATAACATGAGTCATTAAAGCATCTAGCCCCCAGTCACCCCTCTCGTTTTCTCTCTTGCACACACTCTCTTAATTCATTCAAATATAACACATATTCATAAATGTAACTTGAGATACAGATTCTTATCTACAGGGTCATTGAAGTTTTCAAATAATATAACTGTCACAAATACACTCATCACATTTCAATGGGCAATGTAGTTTCTCAGATGTGGGTTTCTGTTTTTACAGCTAATGCATCTTATATAAACTCACTTGGAGCTTTGATCATTGTGAAATAATTACAATTAACACTGGCCTGGTTTATGACTGAGTTTATTTTTTGAGAAGAAGGAGTGAAAATCTGTGCTACCTGGCCACTTGTGTTGACCAAACAGAACACCTCCTACAGATGCTGCAGTGTCGCCCACACCAAGGGAGATAACTCCACTGTACATGGGTAGCAGAGCACCTGAAACAATGTGAAACAGTTTGATGAACAGTGTTCTCTTTCTTACTTCCTTGTTACCTGAGGCAAAGTATGTCCTCAGTAGAACTTAGCATCCTTTCAATCATAAACCAAGGAAAACCCTGAAGTATATACCCTGGTTCTATTCATACCTGCATGAAGAAGATCCCACACACATAGGGTCAAGCCATAACTTGCAAGGACATTTCACAAGCTGTTGGATATCACATGGTATAACTTAAATGGAAACACTCATAAATATTCTAGCTAAATGATTGCAACCTGTAAATAATGTCTGGTCCAGACAATCCAGTGACTGATAGTAGGAGCAACAATTCATGCTGTTGGGTTACGAGATCTATAGTGGACCAAGCCAAGGAGCCTGACTACCAGATCCAAGTCAGCTGCCTTTGTCTAACAGCATAGGTTCTAAGGGAACTATTCAAACTTGGAATACCTACTGGGTAGGGTCTTTTCACACTATGGATAAAATATATTCCTAAATATGTGCACTTATATATAAAGTAAACTATGTTATTGATGAACATGCTTATAGTGAACTGAATGAAATAATGGAGTGGTTTTCATCCTGTCCATTAGTAGGGGTGAAACAGTATACCGCAGTATTGGTAGAACCGTGGTATTTTGCCTTCGGTTCGGTATACCGTAATGCAATCCAGAAATTTGGTATTTTCGATTTTCGTACTGTCATTTTATTAACCTTTTTAAACGTTTTCTAAAATGTCTAGAACTCAAATTGTTTGTCAAAATCTATGCATTTCTTTGCAAGATGTCAATTTTCTGCATAATGATCATATCTCATATATCGAACCGAAACGAACTGAACCGAAGGCCTTGTACAGCAATACGTACCGTACCGTGGTAAGAGTGTACCGTTTCACCCCTATCCATTAGCGGTATATTTGACTCAAAATGTACATAACAAACTATGGTTAGAACAAACTAAAATTACTGGTCCCCTTGAATCCTTGTAATTTACTGCATATAACACATTGTATGCCCCAACTGCGTCGATTGATGCTCATGCTGTTGATCACTGGATTGTCTGCTTCAGACTCAATTATTTACAGATGTCCTCCATATAGCTGGAATATTGCTGACTGCAGCGTTAATCAACAAACCAACCAACCAACATTGTATGCACTGGATGCGTTAATGTGTTGTGTAAAAGCCTGTATCCCTATACCTACCATTGATGGGCCGGATGTTGGTGATCCAGAGAGGAAGAGACAGGCCCACTAGGAGGTAGATATGGGTCAGTATCACACGGCCTTCATCCTTATCATCCACAAACATCTTGAAAGAGCTGTCAATATGCTGGCCCAGTGGTGGTACAGTGTGAACCCTCACAGCCTGGAAGAAGAGGCCCTAAGGTCACTGCTAAGTCACTGCAAGCTACATCACTATCAGATGAACGCAGTAGACTATATATTTACACAATTAAATATATTGTAAAAACTACCCCTTCGGTCTTAAGAATGTTTAGCATAAGTGCACACATTTGTTAACTGATGTGTGTTCTTAATCTTGCACTTTCCATGGAACGTGTTTTCAGTGAGAAACTACCAGAATGTTGTTGATGTGACAGCACTGTTACTAGTATAAGATACTGTATTGTACACAAGTCTGGATCAGAGTGAGTGACTTTAGTTTCGCTGGTTTTAACAATATTCCAGCAATATCACGGCAGGGGAGACCAGAAATGGGCTTAACACATTGTGCCCATGTGGTGAATTGAACCCCGGGTCTTTGGCATGACGAGCGAACGCCTTAACCACCATGCTACCCCACTGCCCTGGATCAGAGAATGTACTGGTTAACATGAGGAGAGACATACTGCACTGCTGGTGTCTTTATGGAACTGATAATGTAAGTTCCAATACAGCTCCGAACTACTGACCGGTGATGTCATGTACTGATCTGACATCCAGTCCTCACCAGATGGATCTGACACGTGCTGGGGACAAGTAACGAGTATGGACTCACTTCAAGCAGCAGCAGGATGGCGCCAGCACACACAGATGCAAGGTGTAGAAACTCTGCATCCACTATCAGCCCTGGAATGTACACGACTACTATGACCAGATGGAATGACTTGCGGGTGATGGTGTTGCTGCGGTCTCCTTCTGTGGCTGACCCCTGCCACAAGCTGAACACGGCCGCCACAACGGAACACACCATCCAGTACAGCAGTAGACTCACCTGCAGCAGAACGCATAGCTTAACTCAGCTACAGGGCATAGAGAGCTCACTCTGGCACTGAAGTAGCTCATAAACATTGGATGTTTTACACGGACACCACTCCTCTCTACGTGCATATATTTGATCCAGATGCCCTCATATCTCCACAGGATGTGGTATTAAGTGGATCGTACCTGAACTTTGACCACCCGACCCAAATGAAAGACGCTTTGATTCTTGAGCCAATCAAATTTCAGCTTACAAAAATGATTGGCTTTATATCTTTTTCAATTTCAACAAAAAGAAACCCCACAGTGAAAAACAAATACATGTACTCCCTTTCTGGCACAGATACCATTTTACTCAGATGAGGAATGAAATATCAGATTTCTATAACTGAGATTAGGTCAACCTTAAATTACAAAATTTGAGACATGTTCAGACCATCAAAATAAACCAAAAAATGAAGATGCATGTTTATAAGAGAAAGGGTGAGTTAGAAATGTTGGTTGATGCACTACCCTTCTGTGGGATTGCCAGAGAGCAGGACTGGTGCTGTTGTCCTCCACAGTACTACCTCATCACCTACCCTTTTGGGATGTAAGAATATGCTGGTGAACATCCACGTGACAACATCCGTCCGAGAACCATGTATGATGTGGGGATAACCAACGCTACTGACACACATATGAACACCACATAGAACACCCACGGACGTTGTCCACGGAGATGTGCAGGAAGGAGGACGTACAGGACGATGATCACAAGTATGGCGATGTATATAATCTGAAAACATCACCAAAAGTATGTATGAAAGTAGGGTATGTACAAATTATTATTCCTTTTGCAAGACGTCAATAATGGCATGGTATCACAATTATGTGAAATGATGTCTTAAGCTCTGACTCACAGATTAATCTAACTAGGGTTTTACTTTCAGAGTATTTCATCCATTTCAATCAATTCAGTCTCAAAATGATAAAATTTTAATGTTTCAATTACAAAGTGGCACTGCTTAGGAGATTGGCCTGAATGCATATTTTCAGTATACTATCATCCCATTGTGTGCTCTCTGAGAAAGTTGAACTTACTGTTTGCAATGAATCTATGCTGTATATTTTAAAGTTGGTGATGTCCCTCTGTAAAATAAGAGCAGTGTGAGACACATGAAAAACCTACATGCATAATTGCATAATTCAGCTGCAGTTATCATTGTCATTTTGTGTTCATGATACAAACTGCTGAACAGATGCATATAAACAGATAGAAACCTTCAGCTGGACAATGATTAATCTTGACAAACATACAAGATCTGTTTCTTTCCTATGAACAAAAAGCCATTACCCATATCTGAAAACAGTCCATGCAATGATTGTGAGGTACATGTATTTAATTGAACAAATTTGATGTGGGCCTTTCCTCACTTCTCTCCCATAAATATGGAGGGTGATCCCAAAATAAAAAAACAATCCATTCAAGTATATTTCAAAGTTATTTGTTGAACAAAAGTTCCCTTGGACTTTTTAAACTTCAAAATATGTAAATTGACGAATAAACTCTTCAGAAATGATAAAATAGGAACCAAACTTTGCATTGCTACTCCTCCTTAAACAAAGAAGCTGGTTTTTTCAAATTTTAAAACATTTAACCAATACCTTTCAAGTTATTAGCTGACAAGTTTTTGTTACTTCAAATTTATCAATTACATTTATTCTTAAAAAATGTATTTTTGGATATGATGTACAAAGCATATATGAAGAAGATCCAAGCATCAATTCTCAAAATGAAATAGGATTAGCCTGGATTATTGAACAGAGAGTGATGAGTTATGGGGACGTTGGTGTGCATGGGCGCGTGGAGGCCTGTTCAGGTGAGGTGTTTTTACTGTTCTTGGGAACATAGAGACAGGCTTCCACTGTGCTTCGAGCAGAAGGGGAGAGAACCAATGATATGAGTCATGATAAGGAAAACCTTAAATATCATAACCAAAATTTGGACTGCACCTCTCCTTACTGTCAAAGTAGCTACTGTAAATCTCTGTAAAGGTAAAGGAGTGAAGATATGTGACAGAAGACTCACAGTTGTGTAGACATACACTGCCTTCCACAGCAGTGCAGCCATGAGCTGGATGCTGCAGGACAACTCTCCCAAGGTGAAGGTCCTAGGGAGGTGGTTTGGAAGGAAGATGACAACAAAAATCACAAGGAGGGACAGCACCAGCACCATCATCATTGTTGCCATGGTACCTGCAATGTCAGAGACAACATACTTACTATTTTTCAGAAATATAAGTACATAATTAATGTCCAGTTTGGCAGTTGGATAGTTAACTGCCAGTCATGGTCAGTTATCTCCCTTGACCCTGGCAGCTGTGAGGCTATACACGTTACTTCAGGATTTCGAACATTACAGAAACTTTAGAAAGTGAGCTAATCTCCCATGTCCTTTTCAGATGATATGATGACTATGGATGCACAACATTCATAACAAGGACTCTGTAAAAACACGCAACAACATAGTTATTTATGAGATTTTATGTTACCATTTGAAAGTAAGATCTAATATGTCATAATTCTGATACAGAAGTGCTGAAGTTGTGAGTGAGTGAGTGAGTTTAGTTTTACGCTGCACTCAGCAATATTCCAGCTATATGGCGGCGGCCTGTAAATAATCGAGTCTGGACCAGACAACCCAGTGATCAACAGCAGGAGCATCGATCTGCGCAATTGGGAACCGATGACATGTGTCAACCAAGCCAGCGAGCCTGACCACCCGATCCCGTTAGTTGCCTCTTACGACAAGCATAGTCGCCTTTTGTGGCAAGCATGAGTTGCTGAAGACCTATTCTACCCCGGATCTTCACGGGTCGCTGAAGTTGTGAAGAAAAGAAAGCAGCATGTACCCAAGCAATGTTGTGAAAGTAAATGCCACACACCTGTCATGGACAATATAACGCCAGCTGAAATACCCGATGCTGTGAGAAGCACTGATGTGGTCCATAACGAGCAGGTAACAGGGGACGTTTACTGCGATCTCTGTTGCTGATAACCCCCAGGGTTGCCAGGTAGGACACCAGGAAGGCACAGCCCAACATGGAGTGCATGTAGTCTACAACATAAAATATCACCTTGTCTAATGCTGGTTAAGAGTTCAGCCCGTAAACCCCGCTTGAAATGTATTCATTTATTATGATTATTTATAGGGTTTAGATTTAGCATTATAAAGTTTAGGGTTAGTGTAAAGGCTGGATATTTTGTCCTAGTCTTTTGCACAAGTAACCCAATATCCTGCCCTTTACCAGTTATCTGATAGGGTTCTGGGGCTCAAGGCACTGGTGCCATGGTCTCCATAGCAACAGTTTTTTAGCCAATCCCCAGGGGCTATGTTGTCACATGACAGGGGCAAGAGGGAGCGTGGGACCCCCAAGCCTGAAATCTTCCTCTTTCTGCCTGCACTGTCGAGGTGACAACAAGCCAGCTTGTTTTTTAGGTAAGAACCTCAGTTTGCTTCGATATTGCAACTGGGTCTTCTGTATTAAATTCTATGTATAGTTATGTTGTTAGCAGGATAAGTAATTATCTGCGGGTTTTAAATTAATGTATTATTTAATTTGATAAATTACTATTAAAACAAGTGTTGGGTCACTGTCATCAATTATTCTTGCTGTGCCAAACTGGCGAAAGGTCACTCATCTGTGACTGTCCAAACGTGCACTCGATGGCAAGAATAAATGACATGTACTCATTGTAATATATTTTCATCTAGAAATTCAGTTTAGTAAGGTACTTTGTGTGTTTAGCATTAATTTGCTTATTTGACCTGCCAGTCAAAATTGTCTCTAGCTCATTGCTAAATTCAAAATTCCATTTATTTACAACTTGTTGCTGCTAACAACAGAACTCTTTTTGCCATTTTAATCTAAATTAAAAGTCTCTGTATCACTGTCCCTGTTTCCAAACCATGTGCTCAGTTGGAGTATCACGGTGTCAGCTGGAACCAATTAGTGGCGGTCATGCTCACTGACCAGTGCTGACCTCTCCACTGAGCAGCACACAGCCTGGGCTGTCTTCGGCTCTCCTCGGCATTCTCCGGCTCCCGTCCGGCTCCATTACAAAATGGCTGCACCGGATGTAAACAAAACTAGGGTCCGTCGTCTGCTTCATGGTTATCTTAACATAGCATTGACTACCGGTACCATGCCACTATATCAATCATATTTTAGTATGTTCCCCCACTTGATGTGAAAGTGAAGTCACAGTTTATTCAATAATAATATAATGTATTATATTATATGGCCAATAATATACCTACATATCGTAGTAATATAATTTATGTAATATCCGTTTATTACATACTGTCAATTTACTTACTACAATTAGGTGTTTATTCTGGGTAGCCCCAAGTGGTGTACCTACTGGGTGTATTGACATTCTGTTGGAGCTAGCCTCATATTGACTAGTATGATCATCCAACAGGCAGTCATACCCCATTTCCTTTAGCCACATGTGTCGTACAGGCCAGGTGTCCTGTCGTGGCTATTGTGTATATCAATCAACCGGTTTTCTGTATCATATATTCCAAATGTGTTGGGTATAGATATTGCCCCACTTTGTGTATATATATGTATTTTTATATTTCCCATTGGCCCTTAATATTAATGTGACCTTCACCTCACCTCAGGTGGGGCCCTATGTAAATCCTCTGATAGGAGGGGTGTGACGATTCTTTTGGGTTATGTAATTAAAGGTATTTATGTAAATACTCTTTGGGATTGTGTGCTCATATATGCACATATACTTTTGTACCAATATTGTATTTATTTGTCCTTTAATAATATTGTTGCCCTATTAAGTATTGTCGCCACATCCTACATATCAGTCGGATTATTGTTAATTTTCATAATTGTGTTTGCACAATGGCTCTCTTCTGCCTGCACTGTCGAGGTGACAACAAGCCAGCTTGTTTTTAGGTTTCACCTGGACTGTGCAGTCGAACTTGCAACTCTGTTACCAAGACCTTTATTTCAATATATATTATTACTGTCTTTTGTGTTGTGTCATCTTTGACTGGAGCACTTCGCGCAATAGACACACTTGCCCATCCCTTTTCCCGTGAGGAATTAATTGTTATGCAATAACAGCAATTACCCAAGTCTTACATTGGCTTAGCAACGGGGCCAAGTGTCGCAAGCGTTCATAGTACTCCTCAAAGGTCAAAGATATACACTCATTGGCACATAAGGCATAATTTTGTATCTATACTCCTACCCTTAGTTGCCTTAGTCAACTAAGAATTCTCAGTACCTCAACCTCATCTCCTATTGTTGTCAACATGTCCTCGCTCACGAACTCTGAGCTCTTGGACACTATGTTGTCAATGAAATTTGACCCCAAGCGATCAATTGGAATAATTGGGCTCCCAGAGGAAACAAAAACGGAGTCGGTTGAGGAGGAGTTGTCCCCTTGCTATGGGAAGGTACGGGTTCTCCAGGTGCTTGATTCTATTCATCAGCTGCACCTCGTGGAGTTCCCGAGCCCTCAAGTCCCTCTGAAGCTTGGGGACACTGTACTCATCAGAGAGGAGGAGTACCAAGTTATGAAAGTGAACTTGGTTCGGGAAGGATCCTCTCTAGAAGACGTCGTGGCCAGGGCAGTAGATCAGGCCCTGGACAGGAAGACGGCCCTGATGATGGAGGCGATGAAGTCGCAGATGCTGGAACAGTTCCAACTGCTATTACGACAGCTTCCATCAGCTACGACCAGCGCCCGGATCCATAAACCAAATCCACCAACTCCCACACCTGTTCTGGCGGCTAACGAGGTTGCTGCTGCCCACTCAGAATCCCCAGCCGCTAGCGACTCTAATGTTGCAAGCTCGAGTGCTGGGGTTGTGGTATAGCGGTAGCACTGTAATTTTCCAGACCCACAACAGGTGCTGGTGAATTGGGATCGCCCCTCATCCAGCTACTTCAGACTGAAGACCTTCTCTGGTGCAAGACCCATCAAAGCTGGAGAGGTAGCCTTTGAAGAATGGGCCAAACAAGCGAAGATCGTAATGGAAGATCAGGCCCTCTCAGAGACCGGGAAGCGACAGAGACTCCTCGGCAGCCTCCAGTCTCCAGCCTTCGATATGGCTTTAGGAATCCGGAGAGGACAAGACAGCAGTGGACCTCGCCACCTACTTAGGGAAGCTGTATCTAGGATACAATGGGAATGAGTACACTGAAGGAGTTCTTTGCCATGACACCCAGGCCTGCAGAAAGACCATCAGAGTACTTAATCCGCCTGGAGCTTGAGCTACAGAAGGTTTTGGCCCATGGGGGTGTTAGGACGGAAGATGCCAACAGCACGGCGCCTTCATCAGTTCGGTCTACCAACAGGAACCAAAGTGTTTATGGGCTCCTTAATCTAAAGTTCCCAAAAGGATCATCCCCAGACCTCCCTGATCTCATTGATGCTGTCAAAGAAGTCGAGATGGACGATGCCATGTTCACGGGCGAGTAAGGTTCGGAGTCATGTCCAGAATGCATCACCTGCTCTGGGCTCCTCAGAATATGAAAGCCTCAAAGTTGAACTTAAGGTATTGCAATCCTTGATGTCTAAGTCCCACATAACATCTGGCACGAAGACTTTAGATGCTCCAACCTCAAATCCCAAGGACACACGTTCCAAGGGTGTGTAGGAGAAATAGAGTCTGGAGCTTTTGTCACAATTGTGGAGACTATAATCATCAGAGACAGGGATGCCAAAGTCCAGCGAATCCAGCTTTGGTCTGGGAACGAATGAAGGCAAGAGGCGAAGAGACACAATCGCTCATCTAAAAAGAGTGATTTAAACTCCACCGGGCCTCTGAAACAGTAAAGGGACCAGAGGCCCAGACGATACCAACTCGGTCCCAAGACAAACAATGACCACACGATATCTATTGGACCTGTATGTCTGCCAGAATTGCAAAGATCGAGTTGCCACCTGAGAGGACCATGGAGCTCAGGGGCAAGAATATTTCCCCATACCTGGAGGAAGTTGAGCTTCGAAAACCTGAGCCCCATCAAGTACCTCCCAAACTTAACATCATTTCAACAGGAGTGGACAATTCTGGCTGCATCATTGTCAAAATACAAAATTGTGGAAACAAAACTTTGACTATTGGATCAGACCAAGTGCTGGCTAGGTGTTACACCCAGGTCAAATCAGATCTTCAAAGTGAAACACCTGATGACCTCATAGGCTCACTCGTTGGCCCC